GCAGAGGAGGGGAGGCGGTGGGGGGCTGCCCCGGAGGAGGGAGCGCGGTGCGGGATGCACCGGAGCAGGGAGCGCGGTGCGGGGACGCGCTGGAGGAGGGAGCGCGGTGCGGGCAGCGCGGGGCCACGCGCCGCACGGGCAGCGCTCGCCCGTCACTCAGCGCTTGCGAGCGCGGAGCTCAGAGGCTGCCTCAAGTCCCGAGCGCTGCCGTAGCCGGGAGAGGTCAACAACTCAGATGAAACACGGGGAAGGGCATCAGACATGGCCAGGGGCCTGGAATAGCTGCCTGGGGAGGCCAGGCAAAAGACTTAGGTGCGTGTTAAATTGACCAAACGACTGGGAGGGGTGACGTGCTTTATAGCTGCGAGTGCTGAAGGGAAGAGGATTGCTTTAGGCCAGTCTGATGAGATAGTAACTACGGTGCTAAGATTACATTAAATAAAGGAAAATGTAACTTCCAGTGGTAAGCCAATATTCCTGATACTCAGGACAGCAGACTGAGAATTAATTACCCCAAGAGAACAGCGATAGCTTTGCTGCTTGGGTCACCTAACACTGGGCTGAGGAAAAACTCCATGTGCGATAGGAAAAGGGCATGCATCAGCGGGGAGATGCTCAGTGACCTTGGAAGCATTTCCACCTCTAATTTCTCAGAGTCTTTGCAAATATTCCTTTAATATAGCGGCACCCACTGAGAGGACAGTTTGCACTTATATTTCTCTCCATGCTACTGAATATGTCTGCCTCTCTCTGGGAATTAAACTGCAGGTATATCGAGGTTAGTGGAGTTTTCTCTGATTCTATTTAAAAGATAGATATCACAGCATTTGTTACAGGACATTAAAAGATATATATGTATATATATATATTCTTTACAATCCTGCCACTTATAATATGCCAGGCAAAACCACTTTCTCAGGAAGTGCACATGCTGCCTCCTCCCCAAGAGGATTCTGCTCCTCAGATGCCAGCTGAGACCCCACCAAGTGCACCCCATTGAACCTCCACTCACTAGTTCCCGTGCAATGACCACCAACCTCTGAGGAGGACTGGAAGTGACTCCTTTTAGAGCCCCTCAATGCTTCTCCTTAAATTGGCCAGTGGGGGTCACTGCTGTTGAATGACACAAGGCTCCATCCCTCCCAGGGTTGAGGCTGCAGCTCTGGAGTGCTCCTAGCTCCTGCTCATGGAGTGAGAAGCAGAATCCAAGAATTAAATCCTAGTCTCTTGCATGGCAGCACACACTGCTATGGCCTAGTTATGGTAGCACATATTTGACTAGATTAGTTTTAGAAAGATTTAGACCGTAGTCACTCAATCTTATTAATTTACTCTGATTAGAAACAACATTTTTGGTCAAGGAAGGTCTCATGCTAGTAAAATATGCTTGCAGTGAAGCACCGTAAATAAAGCAGTGGATGTTTTACATTAGGTGATAGATATGTAGTATTTAATAATATAATCACAATCACAGCTTTCATGTATAGCATACCTTTCATCCTGCAAGATCCCTAATTACTATCCAAGCTTAAATTGATGCATACAAACTATACACAGAGATCACTTCACACGCGACTCAAATGCAAATGCGTCTATTTAACAGACCTGTCATTTCTCACGCTTCATCTTCTTCATATCTAACTTCACAGTTTCGTTATGCTGTGCTCAGTTACATAACTAGCCTTTCTAATCTGGGATTTTCAAAATGATCCTACGGCTGAACAATGTCGTACTGGAGTCCACAGGTACAAAGGCAGAGCCATGAGAAAGCCCCCACATCTGTGCTTGCCACCTTCACTGCTGTAAACACACAGCCTCGCTCAGCGTGTGACAGCGATTACTGTATAGCTCCAGAAGGACACAAACACTGATTCACCAGTCTGAAATAATTAAAAACATCTACAGCTATCAAGAACTTTATTCAAATAAGCCTTATGCTTCAAGGACTTAAAATTGTGCTCAATTTAGCAGCCAGAGAATCTTTAAATCCTAAGCCAAAAGAACAGGTACCTCTT